TCCAACAGCCCATGAACTCAAGCCAGCACCATGTTTCTCCTGGACTACCACAACAGCTAATGTCTCTAAAATCCAGAGTGATCATTTTTAATCGTGACTCAGATTACATTGTTCTCTTTCTTTAAAATTCTCCATCAGAATACAACCACAACTAAAAATAAAAATCAAAGTGTCCTATTATTATACCTGTAAGTCCATATATGATTAGGCTCCTACCTACCTTCCACCATCAGCTCTTATTTATTTCTTTTGCCTGGAATTCTCTTACCTGTGACCTTTACATAGCCAGCTCTCTCACCGTTCAGTTTTGCAGCCCAAATGCCACCCATGGAGGCCTTTTGTGATCACACCGTCTGAAGCAGTTCCTTCTTTCCAGTCTCTATGCATTACCCACGATGTTTTCTACGTAGCACTTATCACTATTTTAAATCATCTTATTTATCTTGTTTACTTGTTTATCTCTTCTTTTCCACAATTCTAACAAACTCCAAATAACATTTCTGTTTTGTTTACTACTGTTTCTCAGCACCTAGCATTGTGTCTGGAACTGAATAACCACTCAATAAACAACAGTTAAATGTATGCGAAAGTTTAGGCAGTTGGAGAGATGTATCCAGAGAATTTTTGGAAGTTTCCTCTGTGATACACTTCATAAAATTTCTCTGTATCTCCTTCAGAAACCTATTATAGAGACCTATATTCTTCAAAACTTCCAGAGACAAATGGAAGTGTCTTGATGTCTAATACCATGCAGACTTGGGCTTCAAGGCAAGTGAAAATAGGTCCCACTGAATATGGGATACAACTACAAGCCCTATTTGAAGACATATCACCCCCAAATAGCTAATTCCTGTGCAATGGAAATGTTTATACACTCATCTGTCTTTATGAGATAATACAAGTTTAGCTGTAATGTCAAAGGCAATACGAGTTACATGGAAACTATAAGTCATGAAGGGTTCTGGTGAGGACCTTACAGACGAACTAGAAAATAAAAGAGATTAAATTTTATTATGAAAAGTTACGCTAAATAACAGAATTGGAGATGTGGAGTTTTCACGGGTAAAGCTGGCTCTATGATGTGTCAAACACATTCCACAGCAAAGACAATTACATTTAAGAGACATGAACAGTTACGAGAGAGAAGTCCTCTACTCTGCAAGAGATTCCTATGGCTTTATTGCGGGCTGAATACAGTTTCTCCTTCCTTTTGTTCTCATTTCATGTTTCCCATGCAATCTTCTGGTTACAATCCAGTTTCCCAGGTACCCTGCGGCCAGGAAAATGGCTGAGCCAGAACGAGCATTCCAGTCACCAGAAAGGGTGGGATTGTCTGCAGTCCTTGTGGAGGCTGCATCACAGCCCACCTTCTCCCTCTGCCCAGTCAGCTTCTTCACTTCTCTTCCCCAGGTGTTTACCCCAATATACTTCACTTCCTATATGCTAATCTCTAGCTCACAGTTTGCATCCCTGGAAACCCAATCTCCAACCTCTATTTTTTAGCACAGTAGGATCCAGGTGTTCAAATGATGTTGTCAGCAGTATGTCTCTGTTGCTCAGCTCTGCAATAAATTATTTTTTAGTGAGTTAGTCCTCTGTGGTAGAAAGAGAATTTCACGTCATTTCACCAAAAATCTTCTTTCCAAAATCAGTTCTGTAAAAATAAATTTATCTAATGACAATTGTGTAAACAATTGCTAGAAGTAAAGTAAGCTATTTGCCATCTGAGGAATTGGTACAAGAAAGCCGAAAAATGCCTAAAAGTAGAGGGAACGTGACATAAAAAAATCATCCAAAAGAAGTAAAAAGGTATTCTGCTTTCTCACAATAAGCAATTAGATATATGAACTTGAAAATAATTTCCTGAGAGAATTCACCTAAAACAATTAAATTATTCCAAGTAATGTTAGGATGACCAGAAGCAATCACTATTATTACTGTAATATACCTTAAAATTACTACATCATATTTGTCATAAGACAAAAGCAGAAAAACTGAAGAATCAAAATAGAAATTGGCTAAAAATCCAAAATATGATATGATTAAAGTATAAAATTAACTAGAAGGCAAGAGGAAAATCACACCAAATATTAATTTTACTATCACTTTTTAGAAATAAGCTAAGGTTTAAATGCCATGTGGAAAATTGCCAGCAATATCTTAACAGTGCTAAAATGCTGTTGATACAAAAAAATTAAACATATTTGGAACAAACTGAAATTGAAAAAATTCACATGAAATGCTATTGACTATTATAAAATACTGTGTTCTAAATATGAAATATATATATTTTAAGAAAAATACATCACCCTATGATCTTTAGAACTGGCCAACTATAACATTCTTTAAAAGGTTCATATAAAGAAAAATAAAAACTAAGAAACTTCAAAAGCTTTTAAAAGCATTTCTAAGTATAAATTGCAGTAATCTTTGCAAATAGTTAAAACACGTAAGATTTTGGTACATTGGTAGATTTGTCTTACAGTGAATTTTCATTTGGGAATTTAATTTCAGAAAATCAGTTTTTATAGAACTGATTTTCATTGACTTAGCCTGCCTCTAGCAAAATGGCCACTGGCAGTCACAGTTTTATATTCTACCAATCCGATTAACTTCAGCTTAAAACTTTGTTCCAAGAGTTCCAACTGGCATTCACATTGACCAAGACAGCTTGGGTCATGAGCTCATCAACTGTGGCCAAGGATATGGAATACAGTGATCATTCAAGCTTGATCCTTGTGACATCCTCTGAAGAAACACATCTGAACTACATAGACTGCGAGTGGTAGAGGAAAAACTCATGAAAGGAAAACCTGGGTCTATTACCAGAAAAGAGGAATAGCAGATATATGTTACATCATTCATTCTGAAACTTCAAATAAATCTTTTTCTTGTTTAGCAGTATTTCTCTAACCATTGTTAATGGAACCAAATTTCATCATGGCTTTCTCCTATGCTTTTGCTTTTTCAATCCACTTGAACTCAAAATGAGAAAGAAAAATTTTTTCAATCAAAAACTTATTTGTTCCCCTATAACATGCTGTGAAGACAGAACATTATCTTTTTTTCTCTATTTTACAATTTATTTAGCCACTCTTGCTTTTTAGCTTGGATTCCAGCATTCAAATTATTATCATACACTTCTGATTGACAAGAGGGAAGAGTGTTCCCAAGTTGAAGTTGTATCCCAAGATACAATCTGATACATGTCTGATACAGTTGACAGATGTCAGTTATTACATACTTTCATTGACAACAGACTCTTTCTAGTGTACAGAAGCTTTTGTGAAATATATCAGAATTTTTAATTATTTTAATTTTTAACATGAACTATGATGACTTTTTACCACATTTAATCTCTATCAATTAACTCTACTCTGGATAACGAAGAGTTAGCATGTTTGTAATAAAGCAAAATAAAAATATGTAATAAAGCAAATTAGAATAAGATTCTAAATTGAATCTTCAGATGATACTTAAAATGTTCTCACAGCCTTTCCTTCAACAATCATTTAATAAATATACATTGTGAGCCAAGCACTGTTCCTGGCACTAGGCATATGGCTAAAACAAATGTCTTACACTCCGGCTTACTCTTAGAAGAGGAAACAGCAAATAAACACATCATATTAGGTATTGATAATTATTATGTAAAAAACAAAGCAGGGCAAAGAGAGTGAAAAGGGCAATTTTTGATAGAATGGTCAGAGTTTGGTGCATTCAATAAACAATATACTCAAGTTCTATTTTAATTGAGAAAAAAGATGAAGAAAAGGCAAATAAAAAGCCAAGTGAAATTTTTATTACTGGTAACACTGAATGTGGAAAATGTGTCTGCTATCTGTAGGCAAACGGACTTCCTAATATAAAAATTTACAATTAGATTGACCTGCCAACCCAGTCACTGTTGGTAAACTGCATGCTCCCTCACAGTGTCAGACCTCTCGTATAGCAGCATAGCACGAGCAGAGGGAATCCATACTTCCTGCATGCAGCCAGATCGCAAGGAGGACAAGGTAAGTTCTTTCAATTTTCTCTTCCAATTACCCAAGTAGATAAAGTCAAATTTCCTCTAGTGCAAAGTGAATGAGAGGATAGACACAAGACAGGTATGTTATTACAGTCTCTATACATGGAAGGAAACAGGAGAAAGGGGGGAGTAAAGATCTGCCTGAACATGTGTTTTTCTTCAGCCATATTTTGCTGCTCAGGTGCAGATGCAAAGTAAGAAGGCAGAGAGTTGGTTGGGTTTAACCAGGGACACAGCCTGATGAATGCTACAGAAAGCAGGGGTAGGGAGGAGGAAGGGAGGTGTTGAGCATGTCTGGAAGGGATTAATTGTAGAAAAGGATCATAGAATATAAATTGGATGGGAAAAGTGAGTTCATTAAGAGAGTAATGAGCAATGAATAAGTAGTACACTAAATGGATCAGATCCAAATGTAATCAAATAATGTTTGAGACAGGGAATCAGTAAGTGACTTGGTAATATAAGCTAGTTGATTTGGTAGAGCATAATGGCCCACAAAAGATGTCCACATCCTAATCCCCTGAACCTATGAATATGTTACTTTATATGGCAAAAGGGTCTTTGTAGATGGGATTAAGTTAAAGATCATAAAGTGGGGAGAGTCTCATGGACTATTCAAGTAGGCTCAATATAATCAAAAGGTCCTTATAAGGGGAAGGCAGAAGAATCAGAGACAGAGAAAGGATATGTGATGATAGAAACAGAGGGACAAAATCAGAAAGAGATTTGAAGATGCTATGCTACTGGCTTTGTAAAAAAAGGAAAGGGTCACAAGCCAAGGAAAGTAGGTAACCTCCAGAAGCTGCAACAGGCAAGAAAACATACAAAGAAGAACTCATGCCAGTCCTTCTCAAACTATTCCAGAAGATTGAAAAGGAGGGAATACTCCCAAACTCATTCTATGAAGCCATCATCATCCTGATACCAAAACCAGGCAAATACACTACCAAAAAAGAATTATAGGCCAATATCACTGATGAACATAGATGTCAAAATCCTCACCAAAATATCAGCAAATAGAATCCAACAGCCCATAAAAAAGATTATACATCATGACTAAGTGGGGTTCATGCCAGGGATACAAGGGTGCTTCAACATATGCAAATCAATCAATGTAATACATCACATCAACAAAAGAAAGGACAAAAACCACATGATCATCTCAATAGATGCAGAAAAAGCATTTGATAAAAATTCAACACCCATTTATGATAAAAACTCTCGCCAAAGTGGGTATAGAGGGAACATATCTCAACATAATAAAAGCTATATATGACAAACCTACAGCCAGCATAGTACTCAACGGTGAAAAACTCAAAAACTTCCCTCTAAAATCTGGGACAAGGATGCCCACTAACACCACTCCTATTCAACACAGTCCTGGAAGTCCTAGCCACAGCAGTCAGGCAAGAGAGAGAAATAAAAGGGATCTAAACTGGAAAAGAAGAGGTAAAACTGTCACTATATGCTGACGACATGTTACTATATATAGGAAACCCTAAAAAGTCCACACAAAAACTACCAGAGCTGATCGAAGAATTCAGCAAGGTAGCAGGTTACAAGATTAATGTTCAAAAATCAGTTGCATTTCTTTGCACTAACAATGAATCAACAGAAAAAGAAAGTAAAGAAACAATCCCCTTTAAAAC